CAAAGCGGCAGAAGATCTCGAAAAAAAAAAAAAAAAAAAAAAGAAAAGGTGGCAGAAGATGATGTTACCGCCTTCCCACCCTTGAGGAGGACGATTTGTGGGAACCAAAAAGCTCGAGAGGACGGTGCATGCATCTCACCTAATCTGTTCTTTTGGATCAGCCCACGCCTCACTCACCTACCCTCGGATTCAGAGAGCGAAACAGCCAGCAAAGACGTCGGGGGCCCGCGCATTTCACAACCAATTTCCGTTTCCAAGTTTTCCACAAATTTCCAGTGTATTTCTGCAGTGACCTGCACAATCGCAGACTTAGAAACCCCCTGCTGTTATCCGAGTTTTGCCGGTTGTTTGAGCGACTTGCTGAGATTCCCGTATTCTACTGAGACTTCTATAAGTTTAAGCTGCGTGATTGCCGGGTTTCCTTGTGTCTGCCTGTCTGTCTGCATGATTGCATGGGGGTGTATGTGTGACCCGCTGGCGTACTTGCGTGCTGGAAGGCCCACGGGCCCGGTACTTACCTGTGGGGGCTGTGTTGTTGTGCGGGCGCAGCGGGGGTAGTGGAGTAGGGAAGGCCCACAAAGGCCAAAAACACTAGAGCAGCGGGTCGGTAGGCAGAAGAAGACAAAAAGTCTGTACCTTGGGAGGTCAATGTAGAATTTACTATTTAGAGTCTGGTAGGCTTTAGAGGAAAAGGTATGGGTCCAAGTAGCCTGAGTCTAGATCCCGCAGGCTACTTGGAGGGGATAGTATCAGACTGCAATGTCTGACACAACCTGAGGGGATAGTATCAGACTGCAATGTCTGACACAACCTGAGTCTAGATCCTGCAGCTTCCAGGTAGCCTGAGTCTAGATACTGCAGCTTCCATGTCTTGCATGTCTTCCCGGCACCTCCCGCTTTCAGAGGGGATAGTATCAGACTGCAATGATGTTTCCCTCCGAAAGCGGGAGGTGCCGGGAAGACACGAAAGCTGCGCGGCCTTGAAGCAACCGTGCGAGGCCGCACTTCACCGGTACAGCTCTAACCGGGAGGCGAAGTGCTTCACCTCATATACAAGTGTGCAGCTTGCTGGCATGCTGCTGGAGTGCCCGCTCAGGTGAGGCAGCGCTGGTCTGAGGAGGAAGAAGGTGCCGCCGGGCCTGCACCTCGGGTTATGATGGAAGTGCCCGGGGAGGAAGAAGGTGGGTAGCAGGGAGAAGGAGGAGGAGGCAGACGATGAGCAAGGAGGAGAGTGACCGAAGGAGGAGGAAGACAGTGTGCAGGGATGAGAGTGACGGGAGGATCTTTGCTGGCTATGGTGGTCTGCATCCTCATCTTCTTGGTTGGCGCTGCACCCCGCTGGAAGGCCCCAAGTGGGGTGATATCTTGAAGGAAGACTCCGGGGGCGGTAGTAGGCATGGCGGCCATAGCAGGAGGGACAGAGAAGCTTGGCTTTGTCCTTTGAACATCGGAGCTCCACTCTGATAGTCCGCCATATAGAGCCACCGTCTCAACCAAGTAGGAGAAGGATGTATGGGATGGCTATGGTGGACCTCTTGAGTGGCTGGCAGCAAGGGGAGGAGTTGCATATTGGTTCTGGTTCACTCTTTCATTGTTAATACTATATTATTGTTAATGATGGTGTTCTTCTTCTTCTTCTTCTTCTTCTTCTTCTTCTTCGTCTTCTTCTTCTTCGTCTTCTGTGGTGTTCTTCTTGAACATGTGAGATGGCTATGGTGGACCTCTCGAGTTGCGGGAGTCGTTGAAGGATGAAGATGGTGGCGAGATGAAGGGGGATCGACATTCGTCCTTGCTGGTCTTCTTCTTCTTCTTCTTCTTCTTCTTCTTCTTCTTCTTCTTCTTCTTCCTTTGTCTATACCTCTTTCCAAGTTCTTTCATTTCAGTTGCAACTGAACGACATTGTCTTTCTCCGAGCTGTTGCACTGCAAGATAGCGAGGATCGTAACATATCACTTGGGTGTTTCCCTTTTTGCCAGTGTATATCCCTGTGTGGTTTTTCTGATTCCTTTTCGTCATTGTGCCAACCAACACAACACATGTCCTCGACTTGACATCAAAAGCAAGCCACGGATGCAGTTATGTATTTCAATAATTTCATTCAAAAATTGACAACAAAACCTTTTTTTTTTTTTAACCTACCTACCTACCTGGTTCGTCAACTCATTCACAAAAGTATCCGCCGCCGCGCACTCGCCTGACGGTAGTAGTCGCGAAAGGTGGTTAAGGACAGCATGCAAGTTTTCACCTACACGCAAAGCCAAGGGGGTGCACACAAAACGCGGCACGAGCAAAAACACGTCAGAAATGAGCCCGCAGACCCTCTGCTGCAAATGATGACGACTTGCTTCCAGATGAGAGTCGTGGCAAAATACAAGAACAGGCAGATCGACAAGCCTAATAGAAGGTACAAAATGCGAAAAAGATGTGTCATTATAGGCATTTTCCCGACAAGAGTGCTGAAAGAGACAAGTGCATTGCCGACCACTAGGTGAAAAAAAAAAAAAAAAAAAAAAAAAAAAAAAAAAAAAAAAAGAACCACTAGGTAAATAAAGCAGCTGAG